ACAAGACCAAGCCCTAAGAATAAATGCACACAAAGCCAGAATCAAGAAGACAGCAACAGACAGCAAATCCCGCCTCTGCAAAGAAGCTGAAGAAACAGTGGACCATCTAGTCAGCTGCTGCAAGAAGATCGCACAGACTGGCTACAAAAAATGGCATGACAAAGTACCAGCTCTGGTGCCTTGGAACATCTGCAAGAAATACCATTTGCCTGCAAGCAAGAACTGGTGGCACCACAAAACAAAGTAACAGAACATGAAGAAGCTCAAGCTCAAACAGACCGGCACCTGCCACACAACATCCCAGACCGAACCCTTGTGGATAAGAAAGACAGAAAAGTCTGGATAGTGGACACTGCAATGCCTGGAGACAGCAGAAGAGAAGAGAAAGAACTAGAGAAAATCACAAAATACAAAGACCTGCAAATAGAAGTTGAACGACTGTGGCAAAAGCAAGCAAAGATAGTCCCAATAGTTACAGGCGCCTTGGGTGCCATCCCAAAACATCTGGAGCACCCCTTGAAGACCATCGGCACTGACAAAATCACCGCCAGCCCATTGCAAAAGGCAGCTTTCCCGGGAACAGCTGCCATCCTGCGACGACACCTTTAACCCCACCAGACAACAACATCTGTCCATCCCAGGTCCTTGGGAAGGACTCAATGGGTGGACAAAAATGCCATATCCAGTCTAAACATCTGGCTGACTGTGCGACCAACCACAATAATAATTTCAGCTTTTATGTTGCCCGATTCTGGGTGGCTATATGGGCAGTAAAGAGGTGACTCCAATTTTTGCTTATACTTACATGTATTAAAAGCAAAGGAAATACTTAGAAAAACCTTAAGACTGACTGAACAGGATCTGTGCTTAGTATCCACTGAATTATAGAGCACTGAGTTTATTTTATTTATGGGAGATTGGGATGTCTGGCTGCTCAGAGCTTCCAGAAATGGAGTGGCAATTAAGTTGTAGTAACGAATCAATAAATAAGGAACTGGCATCTTTTACCACAGTCTCCTGGCGAACCTTTTAGGGGCAAAAGAGAAGAGAAAAGAGATTCCCATATTCTCTGAAATCCCTTTTTGAAACCAAAGACCCTTCATATTAGGAAAGGCTCTAGAAAAGTGTGTGGGGGGGGGAATAAGTATTTTATTTCTGAATTCTGGGCTGTCCACCGGAGATGGTCAAAAAAGTCAAGATGGCGGCCTTGAGGGTGTGATCGAATCTCTGAACGTGACGCAGAGACCCCCATCCCCAAAGAAGGAATCCAGGACCCTGGAAGCCCTGAGGCTCTTTGCTAGAGCAGCCTTCCGGGAGTTTGGGGGATTTGGGAGCTGAGGAATTTGCACAGGACCAGGTGTCTGAGGACCCCTCTTTTGTCCACCACCAGCAACCTGAATAAATTAACCACAAGAAAAAAACCGGAAAATCAATTTTCCGTTGTCTGTCAATCAGAATTTAAAAAGAATATTTAGGATAATTTCTCCTTACCACCAATATTCCTATCTGGTCCAGACCTAATTTTATTTTATTTCTGCAATGGCAGGTGTTTAGCAATTCCCAACTGAGAGGGAAAATTGGTGTTATTTAAGGCAAGGTTGACACATCCTATCCAGATCTTGACAGGCTGCATCCTCGGCCGTCCAGAATCTGCTTTCCTGTCTGAAAGGTAATAAATTCTGTTTGTGCAACTAGATCACGGCATATCATCTGGTGGCCTATTGACTGACATCTCAGATTTGGAACTGGGACAAATATAGAGGCCTTCAAACAAGCAGAGAAAGGAAAGAGAAAAAAACCAGAAAATATTGAATGCAGGGGGCTGGGAAAAGTACTGAGTTAACTGGCAGCTACTGGAATTGATTATACTCACAACTGCAACCCCAAATAATATAAATTTATTTTTATTTTAAAAGGGTGCATACATTTTCTGAAAGGGGTTTAGTTACAGAGCAACGGTGGGTATTCTCAATAGCTGCACCCTCTTTTCAAGACAAAACAGACCTGAAAAGAACTAGGGTTTTTGACTGCTTTTCTCTGCAAATCTTTCCTGTTCTTTTAAGGTCTCCTACCAACCATTTCTCTCCAACTCGAAGTCCTTCAAATGTATTGTACTGCAAAGCCCATCACTTTCCAGAACGGGTGGGGTGGGGTGGGGTGGGGATGAAGCATGGAAATAATGGGGTTT